AGGAAAATTTTAAAAATTAACTTTTAAAATAACTTTTTAAACAAGTTTTTAGTAAACTTAGATGTATAATTTTTTCAAAACTTATTAAAAATCACTATAAAACTAATTTTAAATTTTCCTCTAACAAATTTTTTAATTTTTTTTAACAAAATTCTTTTAAATCAATTTACTTTTTAAGTTTTGTCAAACATCTTCTATATATAATTGACTCTCTTTAAAGTATATTTGGTTTGAAAAAAATATAGAAAAAAGGGAAGAGAATGATGAGTCTTTTAACTAATCAAATTATAAATATTTCAAATGTTGTAATTTTGATTGGTCAAAAAATCCATCCCTCTTTTTTTTTTTTTCTTCCTTTTTGCCCCCCTTCTCTCAAATCAAATGTACCCCTAGTCTTCTCGACCCTATGGTATATATATTCATTTAATCCTTTTAATGTTATCAAGCAGTGTTTTTCTCTATTTCCCCTCCTTTCAATCTATCCTTTTTGACTCAAGTAGATTCAAGTTAAAATTCACATGACTTTTAGAAGCTCAAGTTGTGATTGGTTATCATGAATTTTTTAATATCAACTGAAATGTTTTGAAGTATTTTCAATGGTTAAATTTAAATTGTTAATAGTGATTACTTATTAATTAGTCATGATACTTATATATCACTCACAATTATATTCTCTCTAATGTGTGTATGCCCCTTATTAGGTATATATCCAACCCACTAACTATATATAAGGCTAGAAGTCTTTAACAAATAATGGAACAACGGTCCAGTTAGAAGGTAGCAATGCCCAAGCTCTTAGGCAACTAAAGTTAGACGACATAGGAGTCCAACCCCTCGTATTGCTTATGCGGGGGATCTATCATAGGTTCTCTTCCTAGTTTTATTGGTAAGGGTTTGAGGTAGAGAGCAAGTGGATCATGGATAAGGGTTTATCAATTGATCTCAGATTCCATGGGGCTATTGTTGCTTTGCAGTGGAAGAGGGGTTTACCGCTTGAATGTTGGTTTTCTAGCTTGGGTGACTGTAGCATTGGTGGATGAGGGCGGTGGGTTGGTTGCACGTAAGGGAAGTAGAATCTGTCAGCGGTGTACAGGTTTCGGTGCAGTAGATAGCAGAGGGGAGAGTGGAAGATATAGGGGATAGGGGAGAGTGGAGAGTGGAAGGGTTTATGGTGGAGACGGCTGCTATAAGAGGAGGGGATAACCTATGATGGGCAACTGCTGGTGGTGGTTAGCATTGTTGGTGGTGTTGCTAGGTGTCGAAGATTGCCTGCATGCACTAGTCAAGGGCTGTGGCAGATGGTGGCAATGCCACCATTCGAGGCTAGTGTAATGAGGAAAGGAATGACATTGCTGGTTGGTGAAGCTGGGAGAAGGAAAGTGGCGGTAGTTGTTGAGGGCATAGATTCCTTCTTGCCTGATGGCAGCTCTGATGTGGACCTCCATCCAAGCTAAAATTTCCGATCTCCTTGAGCTGCTATAGTGTTGAATGTGTTGTGGCAGTATAACTAATGTCCAACAGGTGAAAAAATACTCAAGTTCTCACATATATTTTTTTTAAGTTGTCTAGTGTTATTATTTTTTGGGCTACATTGCACTCTAGGAGATTTGTCTATAGCAACATATGAGAATTATAGTCTACTAATCTACCTCTATAAAGTAAAGATTGCTTTATAATTACTTTACCTTTCTATTAATACAAGGACATGTCCATTTTGCATGTTCAAAAAAAAAGGACATGTCCATTTTATTCTAAAAAAATAAGAGAACATCGGTCACTTCTCCTAGGAGATTCAAAAAAACACAAATATTTGGAAAGAGCCTTAATGCTAAACAAAAATTGACCTTTGCCCAATTGTTTTTATCTTTTAAGCAAATCTGCCCTGGCTAAATAAAGATCATGAACTGTGCTAGACTTCTTCAAATTTGAACAAACATTTGTTTCAGTTCTTCACAGTTCCACTCTAGCATGATAAAATCAAATCAAAGCCAGAAATAGATGTTTCTAATGTCAAAAAAAGACCAGGCCGAAGAGTGTAGAGGGATTTGCGCCTCGTCATTTAAGGACATACCCTACTGTTTGCTCTCCCTTCACTCTGCTCTCTCCTATATAAACCATGCAAACCCACCCTATACTCACATTCATATTGTATTTTATTTTATTTTTTTAACTTTTCACTTCATAATAAAAAAATTTCATATTTTTCATTCTTCTGCACATAAATAAATATCTGTCTTTCTCAAAACCGGTGAAAAATGGCGCCGGCGATTGTATTGAACCAACACGGAGACATGCTTGAGTTTGAAGGCAGGATCACCATTTATGTCGTTGTGTGCGTGATCATTGCAGCCTTTGGAGGCTTAATGTTTGGCTATGACATCGGCATTTCAGGCTCGAACTTTGAGTCCTTATTTGCTTATACAATTTAATCATTTTTGGTGGGTGATACAATGGGAATTTACATTTCTTTTTATGGCAGGAGAAGTTACATCCATGGATGATTTCCTCAAGGAATTCTTTCCGATTGTGTACAGAAGGAAACAACATGCGCACGAGAACAATTACTGCAAATATGACGATCAATCCCTTCAGCTGTTTACCTCTTCCTTGTATATTGCTGCTCTCATAGCCAGCTTCGTGGCTTCAAGAGCATGCACAAGGTTCGGCCGCAAGCCCACCATTCAGATTGCCTCCATTTTCTTCATTTTAGGAGTTATCTTAACCGCATGCGCTGTGAATCTCGTCATGTTGATTTTTGGGAGAATTTTTCTTGGCTTTGGAGTTGGTTTCGCTAACCAAGTAAGAACTCGGTCGGAATCATTGGAGAATTAATATTTAGCAATTAACCTGTTACATTCATTTAGAAAAACTACATATATTAATTGATTTTCTTTGCAGGCGGTACCACTTTTCCTCTCGGAGTTAGCTCCGGCTAAGATCAGAGGAGCTCTTAACATCATGTTCCAGCTCTTTATTACGATTGGAATCTTCATAGCCAACATGGTGAACTACTTCACAGCAAACCTGCATCCCTACGGATGGAGAATCTCCCTTGGCATTGCTGGCTGGCCAGCTGCCCTGTTGTTATTTGGATCCTTGATAATCTGTGAGACCCCAACCAGCCTTATTGAGCGCCAGAAAGTCGAGGAAGGAAGGAAAATTCTCAAGAAGATCCGTGGAGTCGATAACATTGACAACGAATTCGACTCCATTGTGTACGCTAGTGAGATGGCTAGGCAGGTAAAGAACCCATTCCGTAAACTGATGAAGAAATCAAGCCGACCCCAACTAGTCATTGCCATCTGGTTGCAAGTGTTCCAGCAGTTCACTGGAATCAATGCCATCATGTTCTATGCACCCGTTCTGTTTCAGACAGTCGGATTCGGAAGCGACGCTGCATTGCTTTCAGCAGTTATTACAGGACTTGTTAATGTGTTCAGCACATTGGTGTCTGTTTATGCAGTTGATAAGGCTGGCCGCAGAGTTTTGTTGCTCGAAGCTGCTGTTCAGATGTTCATTACACAGGTTTCGATTCAGTTCATGAAATTAATTTATTACTTCCTCTGTCCCATGATATCTGTCTGAATTAATACAATACCTAATATAACTGTCTTGTCTTGTAATCCATTATAGTCTATTATTGGGGTGATATTGGCGTTGGACTTGAAAGTAACTGGCTCTCTTTCACGAGTTGAGGCCTCGATTGTGGTGGTACTTGTGTGCGTCTACGTGATGGGCTTTGCATGGTCATGGGGGCCTTTAGGGTGGCTAATTCCCAGTGAGATTTTCCCTCTAGAGACAAGAACAGCTGGTTTCGCCTTCGCAGTTAGCACAAACATGCTCTTCACATTTATCATTGCTCAAGCTTTCTTGTCGATGCTCTGTCATATGCAGGCCGGCATCTTCTTCTTCTTCGCGGCATGGATTGTCATTATGGGAGTCTTCGCTTTCTTCTTGTTACCGGAGACTAAGGGCGTGCCTGTAGATTCAATGGTTGACAGAGTTTGGAAGAGGCACTGGTTCTGGAAGAGATTCTATGATGATTATATTGATGAGAAGAACACCAATATGACGATTCCTCCTCATATGACATAGCAATCTTACAGGATTTAAAGGAATAATGTTGCTATTTTTTCATGCTTTTTCGTTTCAGCTTGTACTGGTCTTTCTTAATAATAAATGCAAGTATTTCTTTTCTGAGTCATCTTCAAATACTGTTTGCTACAAATACCCTAAACT